GGGCACCCGGGGGTGTGGCAGGCCAGGCCCCGCCCCCACGGAGGGGCTGCCGTGCCCACGTCTCAGAGGAGCAGCCAGGGCTGCTCTTGGCCTTGCAGCTGAACACGGGGCAGGTGTGGGGCTGGGGGTGCGAGCCAGGAGCTGCAGGCTCTCAGCACCGGGGTTCAACAGGACACCTCGAGGGGAGAAGGCAGCTCTGTGGGCACCGTGGGAGTGCCACAACGCGTGTGGGTGTCACATGTCACCCTAAGCCACTGGATTTAGTTTATGTGCACAGCAGCGTCTTCTGTTTTCACCTTGCAAGACAAAGAAGACAAAGGAAAAGCACACTGGAGATGAAATGAATTAGCCGTACAAACCAGTCTTTCTCTCCCGGCTATGCAGCGGGATGGCCCTGCAGGCTGGCAGGAGCCGTCTGCAACGGGCTGCAGCACAGCACACAGCCCCTCCTGCCCACCACACTGACAGTGCTGCGGGGGCTCCCAATGGGTGCCCAGCACCCAGCCTGCCTCAGGCCAGCCAGGGCCGAAAGCAGGGACCCCCCAGCTGGGGCAGGGTGCTGCTGGGCACTGCCGGCCGCGGCAGAGCTCAGCCCCTTGCCTGCCCTCCCGCCGAGTCCCAGCGGGACTTTGCCCAAGAGGCAGAGGGCTCGGTTCGGCATGGCATCGAGCCCAGATGGGCATCTCCATGGGCAATGGGCTTTACGCCAAGGGCTCCAGCCAGCTTGCCCCAGCCATGTGAGGGCTCATGGGCACTGACCGGCACGTGCCCGGCCCGTGCCCAGCCCGTCCAGCTCTCTGCTTGCAGTTTTCCCACAGGAAAATGGGAGCATTAACACATTCATGTCTCAGGGCCAGCAACAGCCTTCCTAACGCTGCAAAAGTGCTGCACTACAGCCGCCGGAGACAGGAAACGCAGCGCGGCACAGCTCCACGCCCGCCACCAGCCTCTGGAAACCATAGGTGCAGCCAGGCGTCCCCCGGTACCAGCTGCGGCTGAGAAGCCTCAGGAGACGGCGTCGATGACGCTGCCCTCCAGTGAGGGGCTGTTTTTGAAATGTAAGCAAATGGGCAAATAAGTGCTTTTAATAATTTGACGCTGGTCACTGTGGTTACTTGCAGTTCCCAAGTAATCTGCTAGATGGCATAATGTAATAATCATAATAATGATAATAACAATAACGCTACACGGGTTTCCTTTAATTGATCCAAACTCTAGAAATGATTTGTCAAATAATTTAAACAGGCATTTACATATTTTACTGCACAAGTACGTACCAGTCCCCTTTCGTCGAGCGTTTATTCAAACCCTGCCGAAGTGCTGTTCTCCGCAACCGTGGAATTTCTATTCTTTCTGGCGGAGGATGTGATACATGACAGGAGAAGCTATAGCAACGACACAGAGACCAACTTTCCAAAGCTCTCATTATGTCTGTGACTGTACTTGAGCAGCCCCAGCAAGAAATTACATGACAGCTTCTTGTTTTTCGGCTGCTGCCTGTAAATAAAGAGCAAAGCGTTACTCATACATAATAGCTTTCATTTGCTGCAGGCTCTTCGGCTCTCAGAGCCGGACTAACCAAATCAAAGGGAAGATGATGTTGCAAGAGCGGGACTCCTGCACGGCACGCCCTGGCCGGGAAGGCTGCTGGGCTTTGGGTTCTCCCGGGCGTGGGGACTCCGGGAGCGCGGGGCCCGGCAGCGGCCTTGGGATTTTTATCCATTTGGGAGGTTTTGAGCCCCCGGCTCCCCCCCCGGCTGCCGTCTCCCTGCTGCC